TCTTTCCCTCGCTGGGTCACCATCTAGATCATCTTCAACGGTGAGGTGGTCAGACCCGGCTTCCAGAAAGACGGCATCATCGTCTCCCAAATCGGCATCAAGATGTACGTGACCATCACCGCCCTTGGTGTCCAGGTCATGTTCAGTGGCCTCATCTTCTCCGTGGAGCTGCCTTTCAGCAAATTCGCCAACAACACGGAGGGGCAGTGCGGTGAGCGCCCGGCCCCAGCCCTGCTCTGGCCCTCGGGACTCTGGGCCCTTTCTCTGGCTGGGAGTGTCTGGTGTGAGAAGGGTCGGCCTCGGGTGTGTCCCTCCAGGAACTGCATTCTTGGCTGGGGGTGAGGCCGCCCGTGCGGCGCAGGGCGGCCACACGGCCCAGGGGCCTGGCCATGTGGCCCATACGTGAGGCCTCTTTGGGAACTGCCCTAGGGTCTGGCTTCTTGGAGGCAAAAGAAAGCACAGGGAGGTCAGGGGACAGGGCCCACAGCAACCCATGGAGTGCTGCGCGGAGACGCTGGGGCCTGGCCCCCAGCGCCCCAAGGGAGGGAGAGGGTGCTTCTGCTTTCCCCGGCTGACTGATCACTCCTTCCACGCCCCAGGCACCTGTACCAATGACCAGAAGGACGAGTGCCGCCTGCCCGGGGGGGTGGTGGTACCCTCCTGCTCCGACATGTCCGGCCACTGGAATGTGACATACCCCGGCCAGCCATCCTGCCACAGGCCTCCCCTGACGCCCACCACAGTTGAGCCCAAGAAAACGCCCACCTCGTGCCTACCTTCGCCAATCTGCCAGCTAATTCTGAGCAAGTGAGGTTCCCTGGCAGGGCTGGGGTGTGGGGGGTGTCGAGTAGCCCTGCTAATCCCACGCTGCCTGGGAGATGGGAAGTAGTGGGCGGGCCTGCAGGGGGCTCTGAGGGAGAGGGGGGGGTCACAGCTGCTGGAATGCCAGGCGCAGAGCCCAGCGGGGCTCGTGGCGGGTCGGCCTCTGAGGCGCTGAGGCAGCTCATGGTGGCTCCGGGCATAAGTCCTCAGCCAGCGGAAGCACCCGGGCGTGCAGGGCACGGGGGGAGCCCGGCGGAGAATTTGCAGAAAGAAAAGCTGTGTGGCAGCCAGACACCCTCCCCGCTGCACACAGATGGCCCCAGAGGCTGGGGTCCCTCGACACACAGGTCGGCCCAGTGACGCCTCTCCCTCGGGGCCCTTCATTAGGGAAGGCCTACAGCCTGGCAACCCCACCACGGAGCTGCCCCATGACCCATGTGTCTCTGTGCTGCAGGGTCTTCAAGCCGTGTCACTCGGTGGTCCCCCCGTGGCCATACTACCAAGCCTGTGCCTTTGACCAGTGCCGCGTGCCCAGGGCAGACGTGGTGTGCTCCAGCCTAGAGCTGTACGCCGCCCTCTGTGCATCCCTCAGCGTGTGCATCGACTGGAGGGGCCTGACCGCCCACAAATGCCGTGAGTGCCCCCTCCCCCCCGCCCCAGAGTGCCCCGTCCCGCTGGGCGGTGGCAATCAGCATGTTCGAGGGGACAGACACACTGGGCAATCCATGGGTGGGCTTGGGTGGGCTTGGGTGGTCAGGGTGGGCTTCCGGGGGGAGGAGGGCTGAGCCCAGGATGGAGTGCATTTGTTTCCTGGAGGGACAAGAGGGGGCATCCGGGTCAGAGCACCTGGGCGCAGTGTGCAGGGGTCCAGGGCTCGGACAGGCTGGGCGGTGCAGGGCACACAGCAGGTGCCTGGGCCAAGAGCTCCAGCCAGCGGGGCCCAGGCCAGGGCTCGCTTCTCGTGCCCTCCGGCCTCAGGTGTGGCCTCACCCTTCGCACAGCTTTCACCTGCCCTGCTGACAAGGTGTACCGGCCCTGCGGCCCGTCCAATCCTTCCTACTGTTACATGAACGACAGTGCCAATACCCCGTAAGCACCTGCCCTCTCCCTCTGGGACACGCCCACCCCGCCCTGTGTCCCCAGGCCGCCGCTCCCCACGCTGGAGGTCACGGCCCTGCTCACCCTCTGCTCCCCACAGGGCCCTCCCGGAAGCCATTCCCATCACAGAAGGCTGCTTCTGCCCGGAGGACATGACGCTGTTCAGCTCAAGCACAGCAGTCTGCGTGCCGGCCAACTGCAGCAGTACGTCCCTGGGGCTGGGCTTGGGGCTCCCACGCACTGGCCCCTCGGGCTCTGCACTTCTCAGCCAGACCGCAGGGCTTTCCACCACAGCCTCGGTTTCCCCCAGCCCCCGACACCGGGTCTGCCCGTGACGGGCTGGGGGCCATGGAAGCCCAGCGATGGCGTCCTCTCTTCCCCCAGGTTGCCTGGGGCCCGACGGGGAGCCTGTGGAGGTGAGTGTGGCAGCCTCGGGCGACTCAGAGGAGGGGAAGGGAGGGGCCAGGCTTTCCTGAGCAGACTCAGGAGGCCTCCGTGCACGGCCCTGGAGGAGGGTGGGTGATGGCCCCAAGGCTGGCTGCGTCCCGCCCTCCCTGAAGACACCCCCCGCCCTGCTCCCACACAGTGAAGGTGGGGACGGTGGGGAGGGAGGCCGGTCACCTGCACAACCCCCTCCCACCCCACCTCCTGGCCCCCATGGGCCTCCCAGAGCCCCAGCAGCCCTCAGCCCCGGCCACACTTTGGAAGACCCCTTGCAGGCCCTCAGCCGTGGGCCCGGGGCTCCCATGTCCTTCCCCTGACAGCCTGGCCACACTGTCAGCGTGGGCTGCCAGGAGTGCACCTGCGAGGGCAGCACCTGGACTCTGAGCTGCCAGACTCGGCCCTGCGCCCTGCCCCCCACCTGCCCCGAGCCCGGCTTCGTGCCAGTGCCCGCAGCCCTGCAGACCGGCCAGTGCTGTCCCCAGTACACCTGCGGTGAGCCCCAGGCCGGGCGGGGGCGCACATGCACAGGCTCAGGGCTGGCCAGCTTTGCCCCTGAAGGGTCCCGAGGTGCTGGCACCTGGGGGTACACCCCAGGAGGGTGGTGGGCATACCCTCCCTTTATGTGGCTTCAGCTGCTGACCCCCAGCAGGAAGGCTCAAGGGTGAGGGGTACCATGGAGGTCAGGGCCGAGCAGAAGCCTCGTCCCCCGTGGCGGTGGGCACCCCCTGGAGAGCCTACCACCTGTCCACTGGGTAGTCAGTACTCCTGGAGACCCCCAGGGAGAGGCGACACTCAGGCTTGGGAGGGAGGCAGGTGCCCTGACGCCCCCTTCCGTCTGCTGCAGTCTGCAACACCACACACTGCCCCGCGCCCGTGGACTGCCCAGGAGGCTCGCACTCCATCCTGGCCTATAAGGAAGGGGCTTGCTGCCCGACCCAAAACTGCAGTGAGTGTCCTGGCTCAGCGGCGGCCAGGCTGTGGGGAACATGGGCCGTAGCCCGGGACTGGGATGCTGCAGTGGTGGCGCGGGCAGCTGCTACTCGGGAGGCTGGCGGGACAAGGGGATGGTGGGTCTGCAGGTCTGCCTTCTCCCCTGAGCAGGCCGGACCGTCTGCAGCATCAACGGCACCTTGTACCAGGTAAGAACCAGCCGCAGGTCAGGCCCCCTGGTGCACAGGGACCAGAGCCCCCCCGTCCTGCCAGCTTCTCCCCGAGGCTGCGTCCCTGCGGGCCTGGGTGGCCTTGGGAGCAGCAGTGGGTTCTTCTGGGACCACAACCCCTGTCCTGAACTTGAGAAGGTCCCCAGCCTCTCTCTCCCCATGCCGGGTCCTCCAGAGCATGTGACCTCCCTGGAGGAGCAGCCTTGGGGCTCTGTCCCCAAGACCGGGACCCCAACCAGGAGGCACTACTGAGGGTCACCTCAGGGGAAGAGTCTGCCTGGCGGGGGCAGGCCTGGAGGGGATGTCCGGGAGGGCGGGGGCACCAGGCCCAGCTGGGAAGACACTGTCACCTCGACTCCCCCAGCCTGGTGCCTTAGTTTCTTCGAACCTGTGCGAAAAGTGTTGGTGTGAGTTGCCTGGTGGCCCCCAGTCGGACACGGTCATGATCAGCTGTGAGACCGAGATCTGCAGCACCCGTTGCCCCGTGGTGAGTGCCCCCCTTCACACTCCCACCCCCACGCAGCGCCCAGCCGGGGCTCAGGCCAAACATCCTGCCCCCCTCCCAGGGCTTCGAGTACCAGACACGGAGCGGGCAGTGCTGTGGCGAGTGCGTGCAGGTGGCCTGTGTCATGAACACCAGCAACAGCTCTGCTCACCTCTTCTATGTGAGTAGCGCTCACGGGGCCTTGGGGTGAGTTCCGGGCGGGGCCGGCCACAGGCTCCAGGGGGGCCCGCCCCACCCCTGCACAGGGGGGCTGCCGGGAGCGCACAGCGACAGCGGGGGTGCTGGGTGGATGGCTTCCTGGTGCACTGGGGCCCCTGGGGAGCCATCAGTGCAAGGCGGGTGCAGGGCAGAGGCCGCGGGAGCCTCTGGACGCCCGTGGGCTGGGGGCTGACAGACGGATGCAGCACCCTCCCCTGCTGGAAGGAGGGCCACTCACTTGCTGGCTGGGCCTCCCTGCAGCCCGGCAAGTCCTGGTCAGACCCCGGGAGCCGCTGCGTGACACACAAGTGTGAGAAGCAGCAGGACGGGCTCGTGGTGGTGACCACGAGGAAGGCGTGTGCCCCCCTCAGCTGTCCAGCGGTGAGTCCTGGGAGCCCGCCCGCCCTGCCCAGGGGTGTCGACAGTGGCCACGGGAGGATGGGGCCCTGCATGGAAGTGGGCGCCACCGTCTTGCGTCCCTGCCCTCGCCAATGGCATCTCTGTCCTCACAGGACAAGGCTCGGCTGAGCGAGGACGGCTGCTGCCTCTCCTGCCCCCAACCCCCAGCCCAGAACAGTGAGTGGGCGTGTCTGCCAGGGGCGGGGGACACGGGAGGCGGCGGGGGGCGGGGGGGGCCCGGCCAGGGCTGACCTCTGCGCCGCCTCCCGTGTCCCTCCCCAGGGTCGACCTGCGCCGTGTACCACGAGCTTCAGGTCCTCCGGCAGCGAGGCTGCAGCTCCGTGGGGCCCGTGCGCCTCACCTACTGCCGGGGCAACTGTGGGGACACCACCTCCATGTACGTGAGCCCCTGACTCGTCCAGGGCAGACCCGCAACTCCCCCACCCCCGGCCCACAGAGGGCTCCCGCAGGGCAGGGCCTGGGGCGGGCAGACAGGGGCAGGATGGGGGGGCCGGGGGCCAGCAGGGGGCTGGGCCGGGGGCCAAGGACGGCTCGCGGCCTGTCTGGACTCACACTCTTCTCTTTACTGAGACCCCAGACTCGGGGTCCCTGTTGGTGACCTGCCGGTCAAGTGGTTGCTGAGAGGCTGCTGGGCCCCTCCCTAGCCTTTGGGGGCTCAGAAGGAACCACAGGGCCCCTCAACTGCCGTGACTGGCATGCGGGAGCCACTGTTAAATGCCCCAGTGACCTCTGGCTCAGGCGGCCCCTGCCCGCAGGTACTCTTTGGAGGCCCGCGCCGTGGAGCACAGGTGCAAGTGCTGCCGTGAGCTGCGGGCCTCTCTGCGGAACGTGACCCTGCGCTGTGAGGACGGCTCCAGCCAGGCCTTCAGCTACACCGAGGTGCAGGAGTGCGGCTGCGTGGGCCTGCACTGCGACTCCCACGGGGGACCCGGCCGCTCAGGGGAGGTGCAGGTTGCTGAGCACAGCCAGGAGGCGGGGCTCAGGCGCTGGAGCAGAGGCGCCCCGGCTCCCCGGCCTTTGCCGTAGACGGGCCAGAGCCCTGCCCTGTCCCTCCAGGACAGGCCCACAAGAACGGTTGTATTCGCTGCCATCTCAGCCTCCAAGGCCAGTGGAACCTGAGCCCCGGTCCAGGTGACCCAAGCCTAGGACGCACGGCCCACCCCTCTCGCCCCTCTCCGAGTCCAACGGCCCCGGGTGTGCAGTGGCCCCAACGGGCTTGCAGCCGCCTGCTCGGGACCAGCCCGGGAGGGCAGCGGGTGGGGGAGGTTCCTCTGGCTGTGGGTCCAGCCTGCTGGTCCCAACCTTCAGCATCACGTAAGGGCCTGATCCACAGCGGTCCCTCAGATGCCGCAACTGACAGCTCGGCTGGCCACTGGGAGGCAGAGCCTCACCCCTGCCTCGGCCCTGGGCCTCAGGAAAGGGCCGTCGGTTTCGGAAATACACTTGGAGCATTTGCAATTCGTGGGCTCCGTGTGATTTTTAAGCTTGTCCATAAAAGCCGGGAGCAGGTCGGAGGGCAGACATGGGCCCGGGGCGGGGCAGGCCAGCTGCCTGGTCTTCTGTGCCTTTGGCCGGACAGAGGGCGGGAGTCCCGTGGGTCCGCCCAGCTGAGCCGTCAGACTGGGAAGGCTCCATCTTCTCTCTACAAATCTCTGGACTCTCCCATCACACCAAAGTCAAGCTCGGTGTGCGATGCACCTGTGTCTGTGCACGTGTGTGCGCACCTGTGTGTGTGCACGCAGGCCCAAGGGAGACCGATCCCCCAGCAGTGCTGTTGCCCTCCCCTCTGTGACCCCTGCCCCCTGCCCTGGGAACCTCCAAGTTTCGAAAACCCAGCCCCCTCTTCCTCAGAGGCCCCAGGGGAGTCCCTGACATCCCCGGTGACACCCTGGCCTCAGGCTGGACCCAGCCCCGCAGCAGCACTGGGAGGGTAGGCAAGGGCCGTGCGGAGGTCCCTCTCCAGGCATGGAGGGAGCCTGCTGCCCAGACAGGGCAGCGGAGAGGGGCAGGGGGCAGGGTCCAGCACAGGAATGCACAGGGTGTCCCGAGCTCCCCAAGCCTGAGTGCCAGGAAGGGGCACCCAGAGCAGACAAGCCCACGGGGCCAGGTGCCAGCCCTGCTGACCCCTGGCCGTTGCTGGGAGGCCAGCCTGGCCTGGACCCCGACGGGGCCGGCGGTGCCAGGCTGGACGGTGCCGGCCACCAGGGTCGCCTGGGGCTAACAGTCCCGCCGAGCTTCCCACCGCTCCGCGCATCTTGGGGCCCATTTGCTGGGCCAGAGGAGGCCTCGGGGACCTGTGAACACTGGGCAGTGGGCTCGGGTGACCAGGCGTGGATGCAGGGCAGGGGCGGATGCCTCACCACCTGTCCTCCACGACAACATGGGGGGTGGGAGCAGGCTCTCAGTCCTGCTGGAACCTAGGCCAGGGGAGGGCAGCTTGCTGGAGGTCAACTGTGGAACACAGGAAGGTGGACTCATGTCCTCATGTCCCTGCCGCGGCTCCTGGAATTAGATATGCCCACTGTGTCCACCTCACGCTGCCTTGGTCACAGGAACCGGGGCCAGGCTGAGTTGGGTCTCAGGGCCGGGTGGGTCCGGGGCTGGTGGCACCGAAAGTCCCAACTCCAGGACCTGGCTGCAGTCCCTGAACTGCCACAAGGTGGCAGCACACTGGTCTTGGCGCCTCCGGCTGGACCAGGGGCTCAGGAAGCAGAGTCAGGGGTCTCAGGGGTCTCAGGGGTCCAGGGAGGCGGCTTACGTCCTCTGAGGCTGGGCCGCCCCTTGAGGTCCGCAGGGCCGCGAGGACCCTGGATAAGGGCGAGGACCGCCCTTTACAGTTTACACCCCTCTGGCCGGCATTGCCCACTCCCACCCCTGTCTCCCCGTCCTGAGCGCCAAGTGCTCGGTGCCCTGGTCCAGGCCCCCATGGCCCGCCTGACCCAGCTGTTTTCTCCGGCCGGCCATGTGGGCAGTGGAGCTGACCTCACAGCTTGACCTCTCCTGTCAGAGACCAGGTAGGGGCCGAGAGGCTCCCGCAGCCATGACCCCGAGACCCCTTGGGCCCAGGAGACAGCCTGAGTGGGAGGTGGATGGACGTGGCAATGAGGTCCGGGCAGGGAACTCACTGCCACCCCCATGGGATGCCCTCCTTGGGAGCAGGAAGTTCCCAGCCCTCTGGCTCTGGGAGCCGCTGCCCCAGTGACTGGCTGGCCCTGTAGCCACAGGTGGCACCCTAATCAGCGCCACTGCCCCCAGAAGGGATCGGGTGTCGGAGGGAGCCCCCTCTTCCTCTCTGGCTGGGACGGACGCCAACGCAGTGACTAACCCTCCAACCCCCCAGGAGTGCACAACCCCTCCCCTGCCTGGAACTGTGACCAGGCAGCAAAGAGTAACCGGATAATGGGTCCCTGCTGCCACCCCAGACCCACAGCCCTGGCCAGGTGGTGCCAGGAAGAGCAGTAGAGCTGGGTTTGGCCCACCGAGGTGTCCACGGCTCTGCCTGCAGGGCGGCTCCCCGAGGCTGGGCTTGAGGCCCCCACCTGCTGGATGCTGGGGGGCGACGGGGGGATTATTTGTCACCACGGGGGTGGGGACACATGGCCAGAAGGGGTCCTGGGGCCAGGGCTGGCCTCTGCGGCTCACACCCCACCCCCTTTGGCCCCCGTGGAGTCTGGCCTTGGCAGGGCCACACCTTCATTTCTGGGTCCTGCCCCAGGCAGATGGGGAAGGGGCCTCCACTCTCATGCTGGGGGGACCTGATTGGGGGCAGCTTCTGCCCAGATAAAGGGTGCTGGGGGCTCCTGGATATGGGGAAGGAGATGGACAGGGACACAGGACACTGGGGAGCCTGTGACCGTGGTGGGCAGGTCAGGTTGCAGCCCTCTCCTGACCTCTGCCCCCAGCACGCCCAACCCATCCAGGGACACTTGGGCTCCCACCCAGGCCCGAACCACTGGAGAGGGCTGCTTGGTCTGAGGCCAGAGCTGGCGCCAGCGGCCGGCCTGGTCCTGGGCACATGCAGGTCACAGCTCTGACCTGTTTGACCTGGGCCCTGGGCAGCGGATTGGCGATTCACAGCCAACCCCGTGGGGACACGTGGGGCCTGGGCCATCACACAGGCGTCTCCGTAAGCATGGACCAGACAGCCTCGCGGCCCGGTCTTCAGAGGAAGTCGGCAAACTCACTGCAGAATCTGCATGGACGTCAAAGGTCCTCAGATATCCGGATCAACTGACAAAGAGCGAGGGCGCTGCCCGCCGGCACGGGAAGCACCGCGGCGATCTCGGGGCCAGGGCTGCGCCACGAGCTGTGCCACGTGGCAGCCCGGGACCCAGGGCGAGCCGCGCTCAGGGACCGGGCCATGCGCGGAGCCACACACAGCGCGAGCCTGGCGATGGCGGGCAGAGTGGACAGATCACTGGGAATGAGGCCACGCGTTAGTGCCACGGGGGAGTAAAGCAGAGAACCCCTTTCTGCTGGTGGGGTCCCGCTCAGTGGCCGTCATGGGAGGGAGGGAGGAAGGGAAGGAGGGAGCCTGGGCATGTCTGGGGGAGGTGCCCCGGCGGGGCCTGGCGGGGTCTGGCGGGGTCGGAGATCGGAGCTGCAGGCACATGGCTGTGCCCGAGGTGGGCGGGGAGAGGGGCCTCAGGGCCAGCCAGAACCAGGCCTTAGCACTGAGTGAAGGGGCACCGGGGGGCTGGGCAGAGTTTGTAGAGCCCTGCCTTGTCCTTCAGGCCCCACTGCAGGGTGAGGACAGACACACGGGCTGAGGGAAGCAGGAGACTAGGTGGGGTCTGAGCTGGGGGGTAGGTCAGTGGTGAAGGTGACTGTTCGGCGATGGACCGGCTGTGGAGTGTGGGTGAATAGACAGCACCCTCCATCGGGGGGCCGGGGAAGGATGGGGTGGCTGGGGAAGGGCATTGGGGTGGGTAGGAGCTTGGTGGGGTCATACTGTGTTTGACCATTAGATGCCCGGTGGAGAGGTCAGGGTGGTAGGTGGACATGTGAGTCGGGGGGGCCGGAGCTGGAGCCTGCCCTCACCGGGAGGCAAAGATGGGAGAAGCTGGAGCCTCAGCTCTTCCGCTCGGGAGGTTGTCAAGGGAGTGAGCGCAGGTAGAAAAGAAAGGGAGGGGAGGCGGGGGGAGGGAGGCGGGAGGTAGGTCTCCTCTCCTCTGGACTCCAGGAGGCTCAAGACCTCGCAGGTGAGGACCCCGCAGCCCCAGGGAAGCTGTGGGAGATGGTTCTGTGACGGGAAGGGGGAGGGATCCCTTCCGTGAGATGTAAAACACTAGATGCCGGCAACAACCCTGGGCTTGGCTGACATAAACTCTGTGGTTCCCCTTCACTGCGGTCCGTGGACAGGGTGACACACCTGGGGTCGCCGTCTGCATCTGTGGCTTTCTCACGGCTCATAGAACCCACCTATAGAGAGGCACCCCAGGGTTTTATTTCTTTACAGAATAGAATAAAAATAAAACATCATCGTGTTACCACTGTAAAGCCCCTGTGTCCTGGCTTCCAGAAGAAAATGTGTTTATGACTGACGTTCCCAAGAGCATGGTTCCCGGAGCCAAGCAAGGACGGACAGAGGGACGTGCAGGACGCCTAGAGCCGCAGACAAAAACGAAGATGGAAAGGCAGCCCAGAACTTGGATGATGGGCACCATTAGGTGTGTCTCTGGCAGCAGCGGAGGTCTCTGCGTGATCAGTGATCAGCCTGGGACTCAGGACACCCCCGCAACCCAGCATCCACCCCAGGGGTGTCCAGCTGCCGAGCAGGGGGCTGCCCGGGGGGCTGGGCAGGAGGGTCGCCAAGGCAGGTCAGAGCTGACGCAGCTGGATGGGAACCGCCCCTCCCACCAAGACAAACAGCCTGGGCGCCCCCAGCCCCCGCAGGGCTCAGGGAACTTGGTGCCCTCACTCCCAGGTTGACAGGCCCTGAGGGGACCCCAGCACCCATGCCAAGCTCAGGGCCACCCTGTCCTGTGAGTGCCACAGCCCCCCACCCTCATGAAACGAAGGAGCAG